ATTTTGCTGGCCTTCTAGGATTGAGACTAATTTTATAAATTCTATAGCCTCTTAGATCATACGTCCCCATTTTACCATAATTTTTTGAGGTTTCTTTATGACCCAAACAATTAAATCTACCTCTACATCTCAAATTGAGCCATAAGCTTATAAATTCCTTTTAAGTCAATTCAAGGGCATTTTCATTATTTCTCCTCATATATAGGCCTTAAAATGTCATTTTCCATTTTCTGGAATTTTCTAGAATTTTTGGGTATTACTTCTATTTTTACCCATTCCTGGCCTGAAACTTTCCAAAAATTATGGTTTTGCCCCTAGTCAAGTAAACCTCATAAATCATCCTATTATGGCCTCTATCATAACCTTTGGTCTGAACTAATCTCTTTTCCCATTTTTGGGCCTTAAGACTTCACTGGAGCCTCTAACTTTCTTTACATTTTAGTCCTTAGAACTTCTCTATTTACAGTTTAGTCCCTGAAACCCTTCAACATTCCTTTTACATTTCTAGAACTCCCGCTCATAGGGATTTAGTAGCCTACCTATCTTAGGCTAATCCGTGTATTCTTAGGCCCAAAACTTGGGGTGTGACACGAACAAGTTTGGGTTTTACAAGAAAGCGAGGAAGATCAGACAAAGCTTTTGGAGTTGATTGGACCCAAAATTATAGGGAATGAGAAGCTGGTGAGAAAGTTTTACATTAAGGTATCTACCAATTTGAGTAGTCAGATGTTTATCTGGACGTACCATATCCTTATCACTCTAGAGCGCATCAGAAATTACTATCAGCTTCCTGAAATTGAATAATGCCAATATCAATGGTATCTCAACAGCCAAAAAGAAATTTCCCTTAGTGAAATCTTATTGACCCTTACTGGTGTAGAAGAGGATAAGTGGGCAAGACCCAAGAAGGGCCAGGCTTATATTATATGCAAGGATATGATACCTGAGGCAAGAATCTGGTTGCATATTTGTCACAAGGAACATTATGCCAACCAGCCATTTGAGTGAAGCCCCAAGAAATCTAGCCCTTCTGATATATCTGTTCATGATCAAATAGAAGGTGGAGATAGAGCAATTGATTTTTGATGCTATATGGGATGCTAGCAGAGCCCACAACACCAACCTCATCATGCCCTATCTGATCTCAGATCTATTAACCAAAGTGGGGGTAGAATGGAAAGAGACAGATCTGGAGTTCAAGTCATCCCCCAAATTCAACTACTCCACTTTGGTTCTTGAACGAGAATAGTAGCGGATCACTGAAGCAATGTACGCTGAATAGTTCCCTGAGGAGTATAGGAAGGAACAGGAAGCTCGAGCCTCTGTCAACAAAGACCCAACCACTTAGAGCTTGGATCTTCTCTATGAGAAATTAGTCAGAGAGATACGTTACAGGAGGTGTAGACAGAGGTGCATGGAGGAGCTGTTAGTCTAGATTGCATAGAAACTGGACATTGATGCGCCGGATGTTGGAGATATGAGCACTGAGGCTGAATATGAGGAAGGGTCGCCCGAAGAGGAACATGAAGCTGGAGCGTCTAGCTCTAGTCTTGGTAAGGGAGATGATATGGCTGTTGATCCGTTTGTAAATGGTGATGAAGATCAAGGGGGTCAGCAGACCGAGGAGGAGGATGACTAGCCTGGGCTATTTGCTACTGCTGCTACTTGTTTTATTTCTTTTATTTTCGTTTATGCTTTTTTGAGTTTCTTGTGGCTTGTTCTGTTTTATCTGTTGTGATATGTTTCTCTGTTTTTGAAAAAGGCTACTGATGGTCTATTGGATTGATTGTGGTTACTGAGCAGTATCTATGACTGTTGCTTATAACTGCTCTAACTATTGATAAAAGATTGAATATTTTGATAGTTGGCTGATCTTCTTATTGATTAATTTGTGGATAACTATAGTAATTGCTTATTTTATTGAGAGTATCTGATAGCGATACTGTTGATAGTTGTGCATACTGCTATACTTGTATAGGAAGAAGGCCTAATTTTGACCTTTCATGGAACAGATTTATGGTTTTTGGGTTGGTTGCATGCCCTGGCCTTCACTTAACCCTTATTGACAGTGTGGGCACTATCGATTTTAAGTTTGGGGGTGGGGTTGATTTTTGTGGATAACAGGGTTAATTTTGAAAAGTTTTGAAAGTTTTGAAAAGGTCACTTTGTTGAGTAAATATTTTGAGAAAAAGGGAAAACAGTTGAAAGAGTGAAAATTTTGTGATCTCAAATTTTTTGGTTTTATAAAAGATGAGCTGAAGTGGCAAGTTGTTAGTTGAAAATGTATGAATGATCCAATGATTGAACAAGCTGCTTAGTTATTATGCTTGAAAGGAAGTTGTGAATTGCTCTTTGATGCTTGAATTGTGAGGTTAAAACTTGTGTTTCTTTAATTTTAGAGAAAATAATGCACAAAAAAAGTTTATGTTGAGGTTGAGTGGATAATTTAGCCTTTATACTTTTGTTTCAACTAAATAGTTTCAGAACCTTCTTCTGATTTCTCAAAGTGTATGGTTTGTTTTATATGAATTTGAAAAATGATTAGGGCAATTCTTAAATGCATTTGAGCCTTTCAAGCTAACTTTAAAGATCTTATCCTTTGAACCCATATTTTGAGCCTTTTAAAAAAAAATATATTTTTTGTTTCAAATCCTAATCTCTTTATAACCTAAAACCAATTGAGAAAAACCATGAAGTCTCTAGCTTTAAGATCAATGGAAGTAGGAAGGATAAGGAGTGTAATGAGATGCTAAAATTTAGAAAGGTTGGCAAGCGGAATGGAAATATTCTGAAAATTCAAAGTGTTAGAAACCAAGTTGTAATTTACTGCTATTTAATGTTTTATTGTTTTAAAAAAAACAGAGAGAGAAAAAGAAAAAGAGAATGATATATAAGTATTTAGTTCATTTCGTGAAAGCTTGATGAGAAGAGCATAAATTTTAGTACAAGTTTGGGGGAATGGAAGTGGTTGAAATGAATTTTGATTACGAGCATCTATTTATCTCAAAGTATTTGTTTACCCTATTCTTCCTTTCTTTCCTAAACCATGACCTCTTGGCTACGTTACAAGACGAAAAGTCCCTTTGATTTCAAATTTATGTGGCGTGAGTTGTAGGCGTAGAGGGAGAAGGAGTTAGGCTTATGAAAGTATGCAGTTGAAGGATAGTATGTTGGCTAAAGTCTCACACTCTACTGTGACGTTGTCATGAGAGATGTTCTCTGACTCTATACACACACTTACACTCCAAAATCATTAAAAGTTTGTTTTAAGCTCATGAAACTTACTTCTTTAGGTGATTCAGTAATTTTCTATCTTGCATATTTCCTTGAGCATTTGATGAGGATATAGCCATTCCTGCAATCTTTGATGTACAATTCATTACTTAATTCCTGGTTTGTTGTTTTACTCGAGGACGGGCAAAAGTTTAAGTTTGGGAATGTGATAATCTCTCGAAATGTTTACTTATTCAACTTGTTTTAGTGCTCTTTTATATGTTTTGGAAGTCAATTGTGCAGGAAAAGGCCCGAAGCGAACAAGAAAGAGAGTTTAGAAGTAGAGGAGCTATAAAAGGACCAGCCACCGCAACGTATGGAGAAAACCACCATGGTAGTCTTAACAGAGAGAAAGGAATGCAATTCTGTGTGAGGCACCATGACTCCTGACCATATCCATTGTGGTGCCCAAGCTGTCTCAAAGAAGTCACTATTTGGTGTAATCCACCACGGCCTCTACTTGCATGTGCCGCGACGCCAAGACTGCTCCCAGGAAATCCATTCTATGTAAACCATGGCGATGCCTGACCATATCTGTCATGGCGTCTGATCCCTCACAGCTGTATGTTTTATGCTATAACTTAAAAATTAGGGCATATACATAGGGGGCTCGTGTTTTCTGAGGACATTTCGACTTTGGGGCTCATTAGGAGGCTTGTTCTGCTAAGGTTTAGAGATTTTGGAGCTTGAGATCTTTGGGCTCAAAGCTACAAGAGATTTGGGAGCTTGATTCTCAATTTTTCTGGGTTTTCTTCTTCTCCTCTCCTTGTTTCTGTAATGGTTAGTAACTATTCTTATAGTTGTTGCTTTTTGCTAAACATGCATAGCTAAATAGTTTTACTAGGTTTATTTTGATCTATTGTATGGATTAAGACTTGGTTTAACTCTCTCTTTAGTGTTAATGATAATGTTTTATTATTTTTACCTTGAGCTTAATGCTTTCTTGTGACTGGTCATCATTTGGATTGATTAGTTGATTGGCTGAAACTCGAGAAAGTTAAATTAATCTGTGAACTTTGGTAAAAACGTGCTAGTTCATAAATTTATCTTAGTAAATAGATGGTTTGTTGATAGAACAGAGATGTATCTGTTAACCTAGCACAGCCTAAAAGGGGTTTTGGTTTTCAAAGTGCAACCTTTTCAAACAAATGCAAGAGATTGCTAAGTTTTATTGTGATTGCAAAAAATTTGGTTTTGACTTGAGAAAGCTTAATTAATTCTGCAAACCCTGGCTAACTGAACTTATTGTTAACTACTACTTGAGAAGTGATTAATCCAATTTTATGAAGTATTTTAGTGAAAAATAACCCTAGACCCTCATTTGTCTCAAAGTCAAGTTGATTTTATATTGTTTTAAATCATTGTTTTCCTAATTTCATTTCACAAACTCTTTTACAACTTTTGTTTCACTTAATCTAATCAAGAACACAATCATGATTTTTGACTCATCTAGCCTTAGTCTCTGAGGGAACGATACTTTTTATATTACTTGTGACCCGGCGGCTTACGGTTAAGCTATTCGGCGAACAACAAGTTGACATTACCAGGGGAGAATGAAGTATTTTCCATAAAAAAAGTTGGTGTATGAAGCTAATTACCTTGATATTGAGAGCATAAAAGCTTTTAAGAGTGAGATCAAAGCCTTGACAAAAACACGACATTGTGACATTGTGAAATTGTATGGGTTTTGCTCACAAAAGTTGCACACATTTCTGATTTATGCATACATGGAAAGAGGAAGCTTACCTGATATGCTTAGAAATGATAAAGAAGTATCAAAGTTGGATTGGTCAAAGAGGTTTAATATTATCAAGTGGGTAGCACAAGCTTTATCTTACATGTACAATGATTGTAATCCGCCAATTGTTCATAGAGACATATCCAGCAAAAACATTTTACTGTCTTCAAATCTTGAAGCTCATGTCTCAGACTTTGGCAGAACAAGATTCTTAAAGCCTGATTCGTCAATTTGGACAACATTTGCTAGCACATATGGCTATACTGCTCTTGGTGAGTTCAATATGAAACCTTGTTTAACTTTGTTTAAAACTTCTGATTTGTTATATAATTAGAAAATTGATCACTTTAACCAACAGGGGAAGTCTAGTAGAAAGGGCTAATCCTTGACAACAACGTGATAGACCAAGCTTTCAATCCCAGCTTGAAAAGAGCTCATATTTAGTGTTCAACAATGTCTTGAAGAGGCCTTTAATAGGAGGATACCTTTAAAAAATATCATTAATCATTTTATCTAGAATCCAATTGATCACTTCATTTGACCTTGTGTAGAGCTTGCATACACAATGGCAGTTACAGAAAAATTTGATGTTTATAGCTTTGGTGTTTTGGCTATTGAAATGCTTATGGGAGAGCATCATATCCTAGTGAGTTAATATCCTATAACAGAAAAAGTGGGATGAATCAGATCAACTACAAAGGGATTCTGGACCCTCGTTTATCATCAACAAATCAGCAAAACTTGAAGAAATTGGCTTTGATTTGGCATCTGGCTCTTCAATGCTTACAAGCAAACCCTCATGCTCAAGCAGCGATGTGCAATCTTGCACAATTGATGGAGATGGAGAGTGCTCATGAGATATGATTGGTGTCTCTCATAGCTTTGTTTCTCTTCAAATAAAATAAATGTTAGTGTGAAGCACATGTTGTCTCGTTTAGACACCTTTCAGTTGTAACCATATTGAACGATGCTCCAGCTCTTAGTGCACTCACTGAACCAATTTCCATGAATTTAGTTTTATGTTAGGGAGGACTACTTCTCATTCTTATCTCAAACTTAACCCTAATAGTAGAAAGGAAAATTATCTTTCTTCGTTTCCCCCCTAATTTTATACAATTGAACAAATACACGAACATATATATGTTAATGTCAACCTCGAGTTTGAGCGTTGGCACTGCCATGAGGACAACTTGTTGTTGACAAAAAGACCACTAATTATATACTTACCACAAGACGGTCTCCTTAGTTTATCTTGTTTAAAGAAAGAGTTACTAATCAAGGAAACAGTTTTGGTGTTCATCACTGTATTAACATTTTTACCATCTAAATACAGTTTCAATAGTTCAAATATAAAAATTTCAATTAAAGATTTTTAAGTAAAAAATTATCTTTTGAGAAACTAGTAGTTGAGAGATCATATTTATTTTAGATTTTATACATATTAAAATAATTTTTTTAAAAAAATAAAAGTAAAAAATTTGGAGATAAGCATCAAAATCGCTTAGACCATTGTAAATTTGACCACAAGATATCTTAGATTCCACGTCATGATTTAATTTTTGAATGCATTGGGTCCAAATAAATGACTCTGATCAGTTGTATTACAGGTTGAATAGATAAAATTTACATTTTTATATTGAGGATTATATTCAATTGTAAAAGGATTCAACAAAATTTAATTTTTAAAATAATTAGGTAAAAAGAAAGAATGGCATCGAATTAGTTGAGTCGATATAAGACAAATATAGGAATATTCATGCTCAATTCTCCAGGACTGCTATTAAAATACAAATTCTCTTATTAAAATAACTCAATGACGCGTAAAGAATTCGTCAAATGAAAGAATTTGAACTCGAACATTTCTCAAGCTTCATAACTTTTTTGAAGTCACTATCCCAAAATCTTGGTTTAAGTTTAAAATTAAATAACAAAGTTGTTTTCTCCCCTTAGATGAGTCATAAACTTATTTTATAAATCAATTGCGCAAAATAATTTCAAAGGGGCCATGTTATTATATACCTTTTTAAAATGAATCATAGCTGAGTCATATTTGGACGATGCAACTTTAAATTCAACACGAATCCGATTTCTCTGGGAAATTTTTTCCATCATTGTCACTTAGATCCTTCTGCTAGCTCATTATTTGGAATAAAGAAGAGTTTCATTAACTTTTTGATTCATTATTTCATATAGCTGACATTTGATTTATATATATATTTATAACCAGTTGAGTTTACAAACTCTCCATCAATCAATTATACTAATTATCATTATCTGAGTAATAATTATCATATATTTGACATTTTAGTATTGTGCTTCGTCTTGAAATACTCAAGTAATAGCTTTCCTTAATTTTGTGACTAAAACCTTATTTCAAAAAGTCCAATCTATTTCCAGGAAAGTATTAAAATGACTTTCCTAACGATCAACGACAAACGTCACTCAATACGTGTTAGGAAATTAATTAATGAGCTTTCAGTTTCCATTGACGTTCCTTAGTGCTTTTAATTAATTGATAAGCTACCAATTTAATTTATTTTAATATTCTATGAAATAACATAGAAAATGAAAACTTCCGTATATTGCATGACATATAATAATATTTAGTCAAGCAAATCAAATACCAAAATCTAGACAGCTTAAATAAGTAGGTGGCTCAAATATTCACAAAACCAAAGCCTTAATCATTGTTCGGAGTATTTTTAGACATTTAATTGATATACAAATTAATAAATCAAAAGTTGTTTTCTCAAACTCTATGCTTAGTCAAAAGTTGTATTGTACGAGATTTCTAATCTCCTAGTTTTTAATTAAGTTTCTTTAAGAACTACTTTCTGAGGCCATAAACGTACGAGTTATTGTTAGTTTGGCAGTCACCAAAAAAAAAGAAGGATGAATTGGGTGATAACAATTTTAAAAAATAAAACAAAGAAATGTATTAAATCGTATGTGGCACTCAGCATTCCTAAGAGTTCTTCTAACTTTCTCCAAGATGAAATCAGGCTCTTGGTGTCTGTATACAAACTTACAGTTCTTCTGTAAGCTCCCCCTACATAATGTAATTTAATTATTAGCAAGTCAATTGCTTTCTTGAACATTCTGCTTACCCCGTATACCTCTTATAATCAATTAAAAAAATATTTTGCCACAAGTTGAGACAAAACTCTTATCATATACTTACCTCATATATCGTAAAATTACTTATAAAAAGTTAATTCAAATACCCCAGTTTTCCGGGATTTTTGGTCTTAGTTTGTTGACAAGTTTCTTTAAGGACTACTTCCTCAAGCCTTAAATGCATAGGACTTATTCAAGGAATTTGTTTACCTCAGGTTCTTTTGTCTCCCATATGTTTTTTTCCCCCCTCCAAAACTACCCATATTGATTGCACGAATCAATAGAGGTGGTTTTCAGTATAAATGACTAAAATGAGAGGTATTGTCGAAAAACCAACATTCTTTTTTTTTTTGACAAAAATAACTACCTTACGTATTTTCTTTTAATCGATGTGGATTAGCTATCTATTAACTATTATATTAAGAATTAGAGGGAGTTTTATCTTCTTTTTATGTTGAAACTGTTTACTTAATATTGTGGAAAGTTTGTTGAGTCTGATGTGCATTGAAATTACAAGTCCGAATGAAAATTGGAAGACAGCATAATTGTCGAGTCACTCACAAGGAAGCATAATCTTGATTTTGCAGCATAGAGAGAAGTTCTGGACATAATATTATAGATTGCAGACTAACAATATCCATGTCGATTGGTTAGACGAAGGGCCAAAGTGCATAATAAGATAAAAAACTGCAATATCTTATTCCGGTTGCGCTGATCTTATGGTTTACATTGCACAAATGTGAGAGCTTAATTAAAACACAAACTGTATATTTATTAAAAGTCACATTTAGATATAAATTACACATGACAATATCTTATTATTCCAACAAGGTGGTTCTCCTTTGCTCAGCTTGAGCACACCATCGCCGTACGTAACGCCCTCTTAGGCATGTGGGGGCCAATAATCCCTATAGTCTGAACATAAGGAAAATAGAGAAGAGTTACGAGGGGCGATTCAGAAGAGAAAAACAAGTGAACACCATAAATGAACTAACTCTCTCTGCAATATTGTAATTTTCATATGGCAATAAGTAACAACCATTAAGATTAGAATTTAATAGAAATCTAATAATAATGGAGAAGATGGGTTAATAATGTAGTCCTCCAGCGTGGATAGCTGTACCTGATGGAGTTGGAAGAGAACGTTGATCGCCAAGTCGCCGAGCTATTGTAGGGTTCAGTTGAAAGGAGAAGAGAAGCACAAAATCAAAATAAGGTTCCAAGCGAGCTTCTTCATCATCTTCCTCATCTTCTTCCAAAAGTATCCAAGTAAAACGTTAAGCTCCGTTTGAACCTTCTTATATAAGGAAGTACCTCCACTTTGTGTGTTTATATAGACACACACACGAGATAGTCTTCTTGTGTATCGTTATTTTTAAATACTCATCACTTCGGTCCTAAATGCGAGAGAAGTAATTAATGCGAAGAGGTTAATTGAGAAAACAAGTTAAATTAGTTATTTATTAAAAAAAATATGTTGGTTTCCTTAAAGTATCCCCTTTGATCATTCCAGATGGAAACTACTCTCTTCATAGAAAATCTCTTCAACTAGCACGCGCCGTCAATAGACCAAAATAGAGTTAATCTAACAGTGTAAGGTCCAGCTAGATCCCTTTGGATCTCAAGTTCAAGTTTCAGAAAAGACATATATGCTAGGAGGGGTAGCCAGTAGTCACGAACCTCGAACTGAATTAGCCATTTGCTTGAATACCTAATAATAGGATCCTGAAAAAGCATCAGATACTGGATAATAGTATAAAAAAATTATGTGCCGTCAGTATAGAGAGTTTAGGGAAATAATTATAAATTAGGGAGACAAAATATGTTGAGATATTACATTTAAGATCATAGCAAATATCTCTACTACTTTTATGTTTATGACCGGATAAACTATGATTTTTCAAAATTCATCTGGTAGACCGATTTAAAACGAAAGGAGAACGATGACAAAGATACGGAAAAGAAACATTAAAATTAAATTCGACAATGAAATTGGAAAAACAGAGCAACTTGTATGCTTCAACAACTAAGCCTCTAAAATGGGAACCACAATTGTAAAGGATGATTGATTGATTCGATGAAAAAAATTTCGGTCCTAAAACTATATATTTTCTTTTTAATCATAGATTGACCTAGTCTATTGTTTGAAACTTATTTTATACGTAATAGTATTAATTAATGTACTAGATATATTATTGTGTATGTTGGACATAATCTATGATAAATAACCCGCTGGCTATTCATTGTTTGTAAATAGTTCAACATTTTGTAAATTATTTATTGATAATGACGATGATGGTTGGGCCCTTCATTTCAATCCCATGTGAAGAATATAATGGTCCAAATTCTTTATGTCCAATTTCATTTTATGTCTCATTCTTTCTTAGTTTTGTGAAAAAGGGAGAATGGAGGGGGAAAAAAAGGAAAGGATTATTTGTGGTCAATTGATCTTCATTGACTACGAAATTGATTCGAGTCTAGTGGTCTCTATCTATATCTCTATTACCTAGAAATATTAACTTCCTATATTTCTATTTGCTCTTTTATATTATGTGTAATCTATTTATGAGTTTTGATATTAACTAGATCATTTAACTATTATAACATTTTTGTGATAACAGACTTTCACTTCAAGCCATCGTTTATTACTTTTACTCTTATTCACTATAAGGTTCTTGCTACGTTAAATTGTTGTATTCATATATAATATTTTTACTGCAGTTGTCCCTCTTATTATAAG